GTCCAGGGTCAGTGCTCGGGGAGAATGACCACTGAGGACACAGAGAGAGGTTCGGTTTATTTTTGCACACATAGGGAAAAACAAGGAAAGCACCAAAGGATTCCCCACCTGCCATTAATCCCTCTGATCTCTCCAGTGTTTCCGTTGTAGAACAAGCAGAAGGCGTCTCCACCAGGGCCGGTGCTGCACGGCTCTGTTACTGCCAGGGCTGCTGCTATGGCAACTGCAGCATCTGCCGCATTGCCACCGCACTTCAGGACATCTGGACACAAATATGTACCCATGACTGATGGATGTGACTGGTTTGTGCAACATATTAGATCACAACAGCATTCCTAGCATGAAATTGTCATGGTCCGGGGTCTTGGGCCCTGGGTTTTGCGTTTTCTTGGGCTTTTAATTCTTCACTATTTATTTTGGTGTTCTGAGGCCTGTACAACAAAGCTGGATTTGGTTTTATCCACATAACCTAACCCAGGGCTTTCTATACTGTGATAGTGGTTCTTTTCTTACCAGGGTACATCACCATAGTAACTTATGCTGCAAACCAAACCTGGTCCAAAGCATGTTATGTTATGTAAACTCACCTCCTAATGATGAGTCAAGTCACAGTGTCACCATTCCTGGAACAACCCCTCTGACCTCTGTGCTCAGATAGTAGGGGGGTTTAAAATATTTTTAATAGCATCTAATGTCTTTGTTTATCCCTGATGAGCATCAGTAATAATGCTCATCTTTGGGGTTTTTGTATGTTTGTTTTTTTTTTTTTCTTCCTGTTGGCTGCATGCAATTTTACGACAATTTTGTTGTTCTAAAAGTATTCATATAGAAATCACTGCGCCTATTTGTACTTGTGGATCTCTCTTGTTAGTTTTGATTAGTTTCACCTGTTTCTTGTTACCGATCTGTTTCCACTTTCCACTTTTTTATTACAACAGCTTACAAATAAACAGCTTTTGATATTTAACTCTCAGCGTCTTTGCATTTAGGTCCTTACCTCCATACACTCCAGCATAATTTGACAAAAAGAACACTCCCACATCATGTTTTAGCTGAATTCTTTTCTCACAGCCCAATAAAAAACTTTTTAGATTTACAAATGAGCTTATATATTTATTGTAGATGTCACAAAACACCAACAAACCAGATTTATGCTCACTTCTATAAGCAAATGTGTAATTACTGTTTAGCCTTTTTTGGCCCACATTAATAACTGGTTATATAATCAATATACAATTAAGTGAATATGTGTGACTGAACACTTTTCTCTTATAAGTTCATTTGACACTCCTTTTTTAAAATGGTAATGCTGAAATGTGTTTAGAATTTTCTACTGTTCACAACGCTTTTTTAAAATAAATTTAAATACCATCTCATTTATGTCATGCAAACCATTTTTGCTTTAGACTTCAACCACCAGCTCCCTTTCCCTGTTCTTGATTAAGTACTGCTAGAGCTTAATCATGCAGATATTATTCTCTGAATCTCCAAGCACGATATCCCAGTACACTTCAGACCCAGCCACACCCTCAGACAAAAATTGGTTACCCACTGGAGTGCTCAGACCTCTACACTTAAGAAACCAAACAGCCCCCAGCTTGACAGGATAAGACATTTAAAGGATAAAGGTCACTCTTTTGAGGATTCCAATATTCACATTTTGGACAGAGAAGACAGATGGCTTAAAAGAGGAGTGAAAGAGGCCATCTATGTCCACTGTGAATGACCATCTTGGAAAGATCAGTGGAGGTGGCTTACCTAAAATGCAGTTTTGAGATCCCCTCCGAGTCACCTTCACCTCAACCCCAAATCACATCTTGTGTCAGGTGTTGTCAATAGGTCACATGACAGGGTGAGGCAAAGTTTTACAATGGTTTCACCCGAAACCTCTGCTGATAATGACCTACGCCTTTTTTCATACCTTGGCTCATGTGATGGGGCACATGATCAATATTGGCTCAAAAGATCCACGATCCATATCCAATGGCTGAGGACTCCACAGATATTGTCAGTTTCGGGGCTCTGCAAACTATATTCTACTTATATTTGTATCTCAGAAGCACCAGAATACAGTATATTAAACAGAAATGAAAGCATAGACAGAACCGGCTCCGTGAGGGGATCATATACATATACTACTCTAACTGGAATACTAATCAATATTGTGAGATGTATTGATTTTTTAAAACAAATCAGCCAATCACAATCAAGCTAGGTGAAACAAGACATTACGAGAAATGATCGACACAATAACAATTTTATACCTATAATCGGGATTCTGACCTATATGCTCTGTTGTATCTATTTTAACTAATGCATTGTCAAGTCCCACAAGGAAGCCTGACATAAGGTTCTGGTATCCAGCTGCAAGGGTTTACAAAGTGATCCATCGGTGAACTGAATATCTTTCAGTCTTAAATTGCTGGTTGGACCAAACCAGTATCTAAGACTTTCTAACATCTTATAGACAAAACATAAACACTGAGGTGGCTTCAAACATATAGCTTATAGGTGGAGAAGGATTTTGACTGGAATACAGGTGCATCCAATTTTAGTGGCCAATATAAAAATATATATACATTTTCACCTGTGTTTTCATCTAGCTTAAGGTCGAATTATTTTTCTTTTTTTAAGTATTCACAGCACATCGATATATATATATATACGATTAAGAAAAGTATCTTTATGACTCTTTGTGACCAATACTATAATAAATCCAGCCCTTTTTGGCCGCCGCCCTCTTGGCCAGATCTCTTATTTGTGGCTCAAAATGACTTGATATCTTTCATGAGAGATACGTTTGACATATGTTTAACAGATTATTGGCAAGTAAGTCATTTATAACGGTTTAAATACGGGCAATGATGTTTTGGCACATACCGGAAATCCCTTTTTGGCTCAGCATAGTCTTCATAGCAGTTGCTGAGATTTGATGGTTTAATAGCATCAGATTAGCGCTTACGATACCAACTGAATCTTTACTGTCACCCTTTATTTTTTGTCTTTTGGGTTACAAACATGTTGGTAAATTTTGCGTCACGCAGTCAGATTCTTTGTGCTCATACTTCGAAATAAGAATATAAAAGTTTTTGGCTGTCTTTTCGTTTCAATTCTCCACGGCACTCCACCCACTTACCCAGTCCAATACTGGAAGCTAAAGGTTGGCTGGAGGCCACGCAGCCGTGTAAACACACAACAGGGGACCGACGAGAGGAAAAAGTCAAGTCGGTTCCCATTCTGGTTTCAAATATCAGCGACTGAGGCAGAAACTACGTGAAAATGACGGACGAGTAAAAAAGAGAGCTGGACTTTACTCCTCTGATCGATTGCTCTGATGTCGACAAGGCAGACAAGATAAGCGTATCGCAGACAACATCGATCATTGATCGGCGGGATAATCAGTATTATTGTTGTTTTTGTTGTTACTGCTGCGTTTATGTGCCACTTTATGAATTGCTTTAAGGTTAAGTTTTCACTCGGAAAACTGAGAACTGGCACAATCTCAACACTAACAGAAAAAACTACAACGGAATCTCATAATGGAATATCTAATGGAAATTGTTTTTCCATTAGATATGTGGGTTCTTTCAAAGATGGAACAAAGGTTAAATCGGACTATTAAAACAATAAATAAATAACAAAATGCACTTTTGTACTTGAATGGAATTTTAATAATTTAATTTAATTTAATTTAATAATTCACTAAATACAAAATAACAGCCAGAAAATACAATTCACAATCCAAGTGTTTAAAGTTTTATAGTTATCTAACAGCTACTCACATTTGTTAGCCTTTTATTGGGAGTTCACTTAAAGCTTACAGTAATGGAGAATTGTCGCTATCAATAGTAACAGGTATATTTAAAAATGTGTAAAGAGACTGACCAAATACTGTAGATCCACCTGAGGAAGCCAAATATAGTTTACTGTATTTGTTTACTTCTGCCAAACAAGGAATGCTTTTTATGTGATACTAGATGTCTTTTGTCAACATGTTTTCTTCTTATTCACTATGTTAAAAGCCAGAATCATTCCAGAAGCAAGTCTGATTGCTCAGCAGTCATCTTGAAACATCTCCAGGAGTTTAATTGAACAGTTACTGCGAAGTAGTCTTTAATTTCACTGTTTGTCTTGATATGAAAACTGGAAGTTATAGTGTGGTATCCACAATCATATGATGTTGTGGAAGGGTTTTTAGGCCAGCTTAAGATCCAATAGTTGATGCTTCTCTGTAATGTCTCTATCATAACTAAAATCACAGGGACAGGTTCACACAAAAATAGATATCAGAGACCAATGTCTAATCCAGATCCTTGTTGTTAAGTAGTTCACCCAGATTACCTTGAAAAGACCAAATTAAATTTAACCAATCAACATCAATAGATGCCTTCATTTACAATGAGAGTTGATTAAAGACAGAATTCACATGTTATTCACCCGACAAGCTTTCGTATTTAATCGATAGATAATTTATTACAAGAAAGGCTGTGGTCCACTGTACTTCTACTGGGTGTTTCTGACACTTCTACAGTGATTAATGATGAACATTGCTCATAATAATGTTCCACTCCAAGATTACTCACTGTGTCAGGTGACTAACAGCTAAGAGGGCCTCACTGTATAGACCAACTGTCTGTCACTTCCTCTTCTGTCTCCATGTGAACTCAGTGTAGAACATTAACTAGTGTGACCGCTGTGTCTTCACTGCTGTGTCTGTGTGCACACACAGGTATGTAATTCAGCATTAATGGCTCTCGGTGTGTTTGCATGCAGCCATGAGCATGTGCATGTGTGTTTGCACATTGCGTGCACAACTGGGAGAGATCCTGCCATATTACAGCTGCCTAATGTAAAATTGAAGCAATGAGATCACACAGAGATAGGCGGGGATGGGGTGAAGGGAGGGTGAGGGGAAGGCGTGGGTGGGGGGTGGGGAGAAGGGAGAGGGGGATTCTATAAAGGCTCATTCAATTATTAACTATTCTCACATATCTGGGACAGGTGAAGCAGACGCATCATTCAAAAGGTCTGAGATTTGGTGAGAAACTTTTAGGGTGTGTTGGGGACACTGCGCTTAATACAGGTCGAATGTAATAGGTGCAGTGATATTCTTCAGTGCCACAATCTCAACATTTTATCATTTGAGCCCCTTGAAGTGGATAAAGACTGGGCTTAATTTAAGTCTAAATCATTTCGCTGAGATAATTCAACGGAAACAGCATCCCAGGTGGAGTTTTAAAGTTCCCTTCTCTAACTTCAGGTGTTGTTGGTGTCGTCGGGAGCTGTCGAAACATCAGCGTCAGAATGTGTTCGGGTGGCTTTGCTAGATGTCTGGGGTTCACTCTGATACCCTTGTGCATTGTGTGTGTGCTCTGCAACATCCTGCTCTTCTTTCCCGGAGGAAAGTCGGTGGACAGTAAAAACATCACAGACCAGGTCTGGTACTTTGGAGGCATTCTGGGATCTGGAGTGCTGGTGAGTGCATTAGTGAACAATACAATGAAATTATGTTTTTAAAATATGAATTAATTCATCTTCAGCTCATGACGTCATGATTGTTAGCCATTAATGTTGTAATTATTGGTATAGCTAAACTTATTCTCAGTAAATAATCTAACAGTCAGTTTGGAATTAAATGGTTAATACCTGCAGAATATCAGAAAGTTGCAATGTATGTGTTATACTGCACTTAACCAGTTAATTAGACCAGCGCTCAATAAAAAGTTTATGTCACAACTCCCCTAAATTAACAGTATTAGTAACTACCAAAATAATTTTCATGCTTCTGTAATAGCGAATCCATCTGTACATGCAAACTCATTAATCAGTATTTTTTCATGTTAAAATATAATTATTGTTGTTATCCACGAATTCTCTAATTTATTGTTTTACAAAAAAGAGAGAAATTACAAAAGTATAGAATTACACCTAATTATGGTGGACCGAAAAATATGTTTTACTGATTGAATGTTATGCCAGTCCAAATTTAGGTTTAAACAAGTTTTTGGCACATTTCTAAAATATTTGTGTTTTCTTGTTTTTTATACATTTGTTAAGCACTGCATGTCAAACGGTGTTGTGAATAAATTGTACGCTTCTTCTTAGTTATTGTTGTTATTATTATGTGTATATGAAAACTGCACAAAGGAACGTTTATCATTAGATACACAGTCAGTTTCAGACTGATTAACAATTTTGTTACAGCTTTAATGAATGACCGGTTCATTAATGATCTGTGTGTGAACTGTGTGTGTTTTTGGGTGGCAGATGATCTTCCCTGCTCTGGTCTTCCTGGGTCTGAAGAACAATGACTGCTGCGGTTGCTGTGGCAATGAAAGCTGTGGTCGGAGATTCGCGGTGAGAAGATTTTTCACGTTCAATTTTGATCTGTTTTTCTGAAACAAGTCTCTCCTTTAAATGAGATGTTGAGTTTCAATTGGACTACACATAAACAGCAAGTGTAACTAGTGACATCAACAATGGCACCAATCAACTGGCCCTTTAAACAACGAAAGTGCAAAAAGATGCTTAAAAGGAGGCAGCTACATGGAATAAAGTGAATATGCGGTGTGTTTAAAAAAAGGTGTGACCATTAGGCCAAACCTGGCCTTTTTGCTTGGACAAGTAAAGCTCAGTGATGTTCCGTGGAGGCAAAAACACACACACATTTAACAAGACTGAAAAGGCACTCAAATATATATACAGCATACAGCTGCATTAGATAATTGCTACCTAGAGCATGACCCAGTGCACAAATGTGATCAGAAATGTCTTCAAATATTACTGTAAGTTGATGCAATTAATTGGGAATTAATCTAAATTAAAAGGAATGTGAAAATTAGATTTTTAAAAATTCCAGTCTAGGCAGAAACGTTAGACCTCTGTTCTCTGAGGACAAGGGTCTTCAGGGAATCTTCAGAAAATCTAAGTTTTCTTTGTCATTTGGGTTTTTTTTCCTCCTAACAGTTTTAAAACTATTAAAAACAACATTTATATTAGAGGTATTATGCTTGAGGGTCTACCAGTCACCTGTTAACTTCAGCGTTGAGACAGTTAGGATCACGCAATTGATCGATACTTCAAGAATGTGTGCAAGTGTTACTTTGTGCACCTGGCCTTGAGCACGGCCTCTGGATACTAACACAATAACTTCATTGATGTCTTATTTTAAGAAGCTTAAAGGGGCATTGTTAAATGTTTTGATTCTCAGTATGAGTAACTGACCATGCTTCTCCCCACTCTCTCTCTCTCTCTCTCTCTCTGCAGATGTTGAGTTCGATGCTGTTTGCAGGTATTGGTGTTGTTGGTGCCGGTTACTCAGTTATAGTCTCAGCGGTGGCCATCAACCGTGGACCTAAGTGTTCCTTTTTTATAAACGGCACCACACTCGACTGGGGCTATCCTTTCTCCAATGGGTGAGACATAGAGAATAATCAAGTGTTAAAATGCGTTCAGTAGTTTGTTTTTTTATCACTCTGTCCATAGCAATGGAATGATCAGCATGTCCTTTCTTTCAGCTGGGTACACATGAAAGCATTTGGAATACATACAGGCTAAATTTGTAGCACCTCCAATTCTCATTGCTCAGTGAAGGCTTCGTTTCAGATAGTGTGGGGCCTGTTTGGGGATTCTGTTTGCAGTACAGATGCATGACACAACCAGAGAGACATACAAATACTGTCTTGTAAAAGGGCTTCACGCTAAATCTGGCAACTGATTTGCTAAGAGCCAAACACTAAGAATTCTGTGCCAATAACAGTGTAAACTGCTGTTTATTTTAAGCACAACTAAATGTAAACTTAATCTGAACATTTAAGAGTCGAAGTGTATTTGCTGCACTTGTCTCTTGTATCTTAAGGTAAACGGCTCACGAAACATCTCACATATTTGCTCTTTTCTTTTTAACCCTTCCTCTACAGAGACTACCTAGGCAACGCAACTTTGAGGGATACTGTGTGTCAAGAGCCAGCGGGTGTGGTGCCCTGGCATCTGTCTCTCTTCTCTGTGCTGCTGGTCATGGGTCTGATCCAGGTGGTGCTGTGTGCTTTTCAGGTGGTAAACGGCCTGCTGGGAGCTCTGTGCGGGGACTGCTGTGGAGGGGTCAGTATCTACTCTGCTATGAGTTTCTCCTTAGTTGAGCACAGTTTTCTATTTTCTTTTATGACAAGAATAAAGATCTTACATTAGCTTCATAGAGCTGGAGGATATCATGTAATTGCTTATAGGTTGAGGATAAGTGTTAATAAACAGAGATTTAAACACACACACACACACACAAAAATAATAATAATTTTTGTCTTTCAGGGTGATGAGCACTGAGCACTGCATGTGGCTGAAGGTTGCTGACTTTCCTGGTTCCAGATGATCCGACTCTTGCTTAAGACTAAGTAATATAGCAGTGATATTTTGTCAAAAAGCTCATTGATTCCAATGTGGGATTTATCAGAAAACACTGGAAATGACACGAGCTCTTTAAGAGTTTCCTATTTCTTTTTTAATGAACACAGATGAGTCTGTCTTCGTGAATCTGCTATGCTGCAAATAATTTCCAACACTAGCCACTGTAGTCCCTGATTTACTGCTATGTGGGTTAGTTTTGTAGAATTAAACTTGCTTTAATTCAATAAGAAAATATATTTAATGTCATATTTTATGTCATATTTTATTTTTTCAATTTTCTTTCTTGTGTAGTCAAACAAATGTAACTCCTAAAAGTGGCTTCTTTTATAGAGGAGTTTTATCTGTTGCTTGACTGCCTCCTGCTGGGGAAGATGTAAATTTACCTACACCATTAAAAAATAACGTCTTACAGAGAGTGGTCTTATTAAAAGACTGGTTCATTTCTTAAATAAATTAATTTTTTTATGTGTATTACATTTACTGCTTTCAACCCAAACTAATCACGGCGGATATTTTCCCCTTTCTCATAAAACTTTTAATTCTATGGCATGTTAATAAAGTTTATCTTTCACTGGTTCACTAGACAATAAGTGGTTTATATTGATATCATCCAGCATCAGTTTCAGTATCACACACTTAAAGTTACACATCTCCAGAAAAATGCTATTATAATTAACTAAAACTAGAATAAAATCTAAAGGTAGGTGTGGGGGGAAACATTTCAGTTAAATAAAATTTAAAAAACAACAACAACTAGATTTTCAAAAATTAAAACAAAAACTACCTGAAATGATATTGTGAGCTTGGAGAACTAACAAATATTTATTTATTTATTGGAACTGAAGGTATATTTTTTTGGTAGTGTGGCCTTTTTTGTTTGGTTTTTATGGATGTGGAGTAAATGTCCTTAGCTTTATTACAGATTACCTGATGAGTTATTGATCAATATGCTTGTTGAGACATATGAAACTTGAAAAGGTTCTGTATTTTTATTTTATTTTATTTTATTTTTTTGTAATGCCAGTGCTGATTTTCCAGAATCTTGGCTCTGATATTTTAATAATAATTAAAACTGTAATCCCAAGTGTATTGTATTTGATACACGAGTATTTGTGAGTGTTTAAAACCTTTACATCATCTTTTTTTTTTTTTTACTGAAAAAAACAGAATAAATTGCACAAGAAATTTGAACCAATAAATTGTAGTAAAAGTTATTTTTTAATGATAACTTGAACTACTATATTCATCCTCCTATATTGACCCATCCATTCTCTTCCTGATCAAGGTTGTAGGAGGGCTCGGGCTTACCATAGGGTGAGATCTTTTATATGCCAATTCATTCTTATTTATTTATTCATATTTGTTTTTAATAGAATGTTCTCGCAATTATTTCATGGTTCATGCTTTACACAAATAAAAAGACTAAAACTAATACAGAAACTAAAAAAACTAAACTAAACCTTTTTAAACAAGTCAAACTTTTTTTGAAAGAAGAAAATCCACTCTGGAAATTAACTGAAACGAAACTGAATTAAAAGCAAAAATGAGTCAAAATAAAATAAAAAATAAAGCCTAAGTAGAAAATACAAAACTATAATAACTACTACTGTCTGTCTTGATTGCTCACTGGAAATTATAAAATTCTAACAGCATTCATCCATCCATCCATCCATCCTCATCCGCTTTGTCCGGGGCCGGGTCGCGGGGGCAGCAGCCTAAGCAAAGAGGCCCAGACCTCCCTCTCCCCAGCCACCTCCTCCAGCTTGTCCGGGGGAATACCAAGGCGTTCCCAGGCCAGCCGAGAGATATAATCTCTCCAGCGTGTCCTGGGTCTGCCCCGGGGCCTCCTCCCGGTGGGACATGCCTGGAACACCTCACCCAGGAGGCGCCCAGGGGGCATCCTTGTCAGATGCCCGAACCACCTCAGCTGGCTCCTTTCGATGTGGAGCAGCAGCTGCTCTACTCTGAGCCCCTCCCGGATGGCCGAACTTCTCACCCTATCTCTAAGGGAGAGGCCAGCCACCCTTCGGAGGAAGCTCATTTCTGCCGCTTGTATCCGCGATCTCGTTCTTTCGGTCACTACCCACAGCTCGTGGCCATAGGTGAGGGTAGGGACGTAGATCGACCGGTAAATTGAGAGCTTCGCTTTTACACTCAGCTCCCTCTTCACCACGACGGACCGGTGCAGCGTCCGCATTACTGCAGCTGCAGCCCCAATCCGTCTGTCGATCTCCGGCTCCCTTCTCCCATCACTCACGAACAGGACCCCGAGATACTTGAACTCCTCCACTTGGGCCAGGAACTCATCCCCGACCCGGAGTGGGTACTCCACCCTTTTCCGGCTGAGAACCATGGCCTCGGATTTGGAGGTGCTGATCCTCATTCCCGCTGCTTCACACTCGGCTGCGAACCGTTCCAGTGCGAGCTGGAGGCCCTCACCCGATGAAGCCAACAGAACCACATCATCTGCAAAAATCAGAGATGAGATTCTGAGGCCACCAAAGCGAAAGCCCTCCGCCACTTGGCTGCGCCTAGAAATCCTGTCCATAAAAATTATGAACAGAACCGGAGACAAAGGGCAGCCCTGGCGAAGCCCATCACCCACCGGGAACGAGTCCGACTTATTGCCGGCAATGCGAACCAAGCTCTTGCAACGGTTGTATAGGGATCGAATGGCCCGTAGCAATGGGCCAGACACCCCATAATCCCGCAACACCTCCCACAGGACACCCCGAGGGACACGGTCGAATGCCTTCTCCAAGTCCACAAAACACATGTAGACTGGTTGGGCAAACTCCCATGCACCCTCAAGTATCCTGGAGAGGATAAAGAGCTGGTCCAGTGTTCCGCGACCAGGACGAAAACCGCATTGTTCCTCCTGTATCCGGGGTTCGACTAACAGACGAACTCTCCTTTCCACCACCCTGGCATAGACTTTCCCAGGGAGGCTGAGGAGTGTGATCCCCCTGTAGTTGGAACACACCAACTACAGGGGGACATGAGGTTGGAACACACCCTCATGTCCTTATTCATGTAAACATCAAAATAAGGACAAAATATAATTCTGACTGCATGTTTATCACTAATGTAACAAAATGGTAAATGCAATTTAAATGCTGTTTTCAGTCAACGTAAAGTTCGCTAAATAAAAATAACATAAAATTTACACAAACTGTACCTAACATACCTTTTCTTTCTGAGTTTACTTTTTTCCCACTTTTTAATCACATTTATACCTAAAAGATATTCAGACAGATTCAGACACATTCATTGAGCTCTGCACAGTTATCCATAAGGAGGAAGCAAAAACTGGGACTTGAAGAAAATGCACGCTGGTAAGAGCTTCACTCGGTTCCATTTTATTTCAAATTCGGTTATTAATAAGTTGTTTGTTTGTTTTTGTTTTTTTTTTTAAAGTTGAATTATTAAAGAGTTTAAACACCACAAAATTACAGACTATGCCCAAATGAAATAAATTCAAACCACAAAATCTACCAATGATGGCTGGAAGTTCACAAAGGAATCCTGAGTATCTTCTAAACAGCCGAAGGACCAGTTTTCATGTTCACACTGAAGAATAATCACGTGCATATCAAGGACACGAAATCTGCTCTTTGAAAAGTCCACTGCCGTCCAGCTTCAGATCTTAATGACCGTATGCACAAGAATGCTGACTTAACTGTGTTGGAAATAAGACCAACATTCTTAGATTTAAATAAGATGCATGAGGATGGAAAGCACTGTATCAAGCACAAGAGCTGCGTTTCATCTTCATAGTATAGTTTAGACTGTTTTGCTTTGTAGTTTATAGTTGATGTCAGGTGGCCAGGTTGGGTTTTTTTATGTGCTAAAGTTCCTACAAACTACAGTGCAGGACTGATCAACTATTGCCACACAATGCAGTCACGCCAAATTCTTTTCACAAATGTGAAATAATTTCCTCATTATGTAAATAACCAAGTCTAATATTTTTTCCCGTTTGTTTAAGTTTACATTTAGTTTTCTTTATGTGTCCTAGTTATGTTTAGGCCTTCCGTTACGTCTAAGACGTATTGTTTTTACGTCAAATTGTTAAACAAAGAAAGAAAGAAAAAACGAACAAAACAGAATTTGCCGCTGTTTGTCGTACTATAAATCCTTACTTAAAGAACTGAAAATTGTTTTCCAAGTGTAAATGTTGATGACTTCAGAATAAAGCACAAAGTCATCAGTTAAACCTCATAACCACGGTTTTAAGGTTATTTAACCCGCTCCGTGGACAGTTTTGAAATACTTCTGTTTTATTTGAATTATACCTCATTGAATTTAAGAGACAAATGCAAACTGAACGACAACTCGTTTCTGTCAACGCCACTGTAGCGGAACTGAAATTGTAGAAGCCAAGGTTCAAACACGGAAGTAAATAGCTGTGTACCAGAGCTGGGTAGGCTGGGTGCTCGCTGACCCTGGGGAGAAACAGCTTTAAAAGTATGAAGTTTACCTGCTGAAATAAAGGTAATGTTGTCATCTCCCTGAACCGCAGATGTTGGCGCTTTAGCCGTGTAACGTTTGTTTGACGTATCAGCCGGTGTTATCAACAGAGACACACATGTAGGTCCTTCTAGGAGGACTCCGCTACAAAGCGACAGGGGTGCCAAATCCTCGAATTTACGTCTAATTATTCATTTATGTGATATAATGTATTATTATGTGTAACTGAACTGCATAATTGTCGTACCGGAGACACTTCACCTAGCAGCGTAAGCGAGAGGCAAAGGTAAAGCCTGATTAGTTTAACAACAACACCTGTACCCTTGAACAGACGATTTTCTCTGTCGTCAGTCTGAAGTTATTGCTACAATTGATACGTTTATTATTATCATTCCTTTATTTATTCTGATTCATATTCCTTTAAAAACGCTTGATAGACAAGGTTGAAATTTACAGATGTTTTAAAATCAGAAGATTTGTCAACATTAAAAATTCCTCCCTGTGTTTTTATGTGACCTTTATTGTGTGCTCATCTTAACCATTCCTTTGTCCCATTTTTCATTAGATGCTTTCTGTTATATTCAGAAAAGGCAGCTTTGCAGCCCAGAAGGTAACATACACATGATTTTACCTTTTCATTGCTTTTTGTAGTTTTATAACTTAAAAAAATATATATATCGTGAATATCTTTCCAGGTATTACGCTGGGCAGGTCCTATGCAAAAATGCTGGCCGTCAGCTGGGACTGGGGCTTCTGTTTGTGGATCTGTATCTTCCAGCTGGGCTTCACCAGCTAGTCTCTGGTTTGCAGGAAGAGGAACAGGACAAGCAAAAGCTCTTGCTGTGTTTAGTTTTAATAAGACTGACCTCTTCCATAGAAACCAGAATCATGATGCTTCTTTTTGGATGAGGAGCCAACACTTCCACACTTCTGTTGCGAGGTTGAAAAAGCGAGCACTGCCTGAACCTCCCCCTAGAGAACTCGATCTGTTGCGCTATGACATGAAGGACTTTTTGAAAAGTCCCAGACCTGCCCTCTACCTGGGGTTTTCGGGGCTTGTCCCCTTCGTCTCACCCACCTTGTTTATGGCTGTGACTGAGAGCTACTACCCAGAGTTGGCTTATGCCCAGCTAGCCTATGCTGCCTCCATCATTTCTTTCCTTGGTGGAGCGAGATGGGGATTCGCTCTTCCCGAGAGCAGCCCAGCAAAACCTGACTGGATAAACCTGGCCAACAGCGTCGTCCCCTCCCTCTTGGCCTGGGTGGCCATGCTGATGAGTGACAGCATTGTTCCTGCTGCCACCATGGTCATCATGGGACTCGGAATCTCACTCCATTATGATCTGTCTCTCCTTCCCACTTACCCCAGTTGGTTCAAAGCCCTGCGCGCCATCCTGACCACTGTTGCGTTTTTTTCTCTCTTAGGCACCCTTATAATGAACGGTTCATACCCAGAGAAGAGCATTTTCAGGGATTGATGACATTTGGCTGGACAAGGCATCCCTGGGTTGTGCTAAATCTTTATTTGGGTGATCTGACTTCAAAGTTTTTCTTGATATTGATGATCTCTGAACCTGTTGGGTTGATCTCTGTTTCTAGAAGTTGCCTGTGTTAAATATCATGTTACAAACTGAACTCTGTTAAAGCAAACCAGAGATAAAAATAAATAAAATTCAAGTCTGTCTGTCTACCTTTTAGTAACATGTGTTCCACTTGTTCATGGTAATGTGGACAAAATTTGTTCCATACTGTTTTCTCTTCCACATAAAGCCATTACATTAAACTTGAACCTAGTCTTTCATATTATAGAGAAGAATCATGTGTCAGTGATTTTTAAAACCACTAGGAGACGCCAAAGTCAAGGATGTTCATATTGTATGAAGCAAGAAGGAAAATAAAAGACACTGAAATTGTAATCTTCTTACTGAGTTAATATTTCACACACACTGGGGAAGATAATTGTTCTATCTCCTACAAAATTTGTAAGTTTGCTCACTTTGAAAATATTTTAAAAGAAACAAACAGTTGCTCTGAACCCCATAGCAGAAAAACATGCCTGACTGTTGTGATGCTGGTGTTTGGGTCGTACTCAGCATTTCTCTTCTTCATTTGATGCCAAAGAGCTCCGATTATGGTTTCATTTGATCACAACACTTTCTCCCAATTCATCGCAGAATCATTTAGACTGGCCTGAACATGTGTTGCAAGATCTCAGCCTATTACAGCGTGTTGTGTTGAATGAATGATGTCCTTGATGCCTGTGGTCCTAACTGCCTTTAGGTCATTAACAGGCTCCTCCTGTGCGGTTTGAGCTGATCTACCTCTTATCTCATGATCATCCTCATCCAGTGAGGTAAGATCTTGCATGGATCTCCACACTGGGGACGATTGATGGTCATTTTATATTTCTTCCATTTCCAAATAATTGGATTCCTGCTGATGGTCTTATAGCCCTTTTTTCCTACCTGATTCAAAGAATTTGCCCATATTATGTTTTGAGTTGTTAAATGAAAATTGCATATTTTTTAGGCAACATTTGCACTTCAAATTAGCAGCTCCACTGTTACACTGTAGTATTGACATCACCAGGGAAAGCAGTTATTACATAAGACCTGAAGTGGACTAATCTCTACTTAAAGCCTCAGCGATCGAGTGTCACACGAGGCCAGAGACGTGAACACAGTGTAGAATAAAAACCTGGGCTCACTGTACACTAATTGTCTCAGCTGGACGACAAATAATTTTATTGATGTTTGAAAAGAAATGCACGCACATCTTCTAACATTTGTATCCAGATTTATTCACATAAACACCAGCGCCTAATAAAGACATATTTGAAAGAAAGGCAAGAGAAAACAGGGGTGTTGAAGTCCACAGATATCTGAGAATAAAAAAACATATAAGGCACAATTCTACTTCTGTCCTGTATAAAAAGACCCTTTAAATGAACCAATGACCCTCAGATGAAATCCCTTATTAAAAAGTCAAACCTCTCTCAGATGTCACACAATGTGTAAATACAGTATTGCACTTGTTTGTTTGTTTTAGTTTCTTTGGATTTCTTTGTGAAACAGTTTTCCCACCACACGTGGGACTTGGTCAAATTATTTTTGATGATAAGAAGATAAACAAAAAAACAGAAGATTGCAGCAGGTGACTTCTTGGACTTTTTGATTAAATATTAGAGTAACGTTTCTATTCAACAATTAAACCAAAAAGAAATTACCCTGATAAGTGTTCTTGGTTTTCAAAGCCAGAGATGAACTGATCTGAAGTAGATCATGAGGCTTGTTGGAGTACATAAAGCTAGGAGTGCACAATCAACATAAACAACATTTGGAAACTTTGTAGAGATCTTCCTACTCACTGTCAGCCCTGCGTTAGCGCTGCAGGATTTTCTTTGTATGAGCAAAGGCCTGCGGTCTCAGTGGACTGCAGGTAAACAAGGGCAAACAACATATGTAAAAAAGGAGGGAGTGTTTTGAAATTTTTAAAAAAAAGTTGGGTGCACCTTTTCTTGCACTCGTAAACACATGCGGTCACTGAGAACTCTGCTGCCTACTTCTGAATACCCAGACCAGACCGCATGTACTCGTACACCACGTAGCTAATGCTGACGGCTGGTATGACTTTCATGAAATTGGGCAGGATGCCGCGGTAAAGTCCAAAGAAGCCCTCCTTTTTCATAATCTTCTTCACCATCAGATTCATCGGCAGCTGCTCTGAGCCCTCAACAGAAGCTGAGAAAAGAAAGGTAAAGCCAGATGAGTGAAGAAAAAGATCTCCTCATGTTTAAAATCTCTAGATTTTAGAAGTATTGGCTGCTTATAAGCAGCATATGTTTGAAATTAGCTTAGATTAAAGAACTGAAAATTGTTTTCCAAGTGTAAATGTTGATGACTTCAGAATAAAGCACAAAGTCCTCAGTTAAACCTCATAACCACGGTTTTAAGGTTATTTAACCCCCTCTGTGGACAGTTTTGAAGTATTTCTTTTATTTGAATGATACCTCATTGAAGTTAAGAGACAAATGCAAAATAAAACCTATTCCAGTATATTTATGTGGATACTTTTTGGTGGCCCACCATGTTTCAGGTGTTTTATATATCATCATTTGGAAGTCTTAAATTATTTAAACAGAACTTCTAAAGAAACAATAATACTTGACATATTTTACAGTGCTATTTTTTTTTAAATTGTAAAATGCAGAACCAGTTGGTAAAAAACAAAGTAGCCGATACTGCTAATCAAATGCACTTGATTACTAATCATCAGCCAGTATGAGCACCTGTATTAAAGCAGAAGTTTTGGCAGTTAACACAACGCCAAGGAGGAAAAACATCAGCAATGATCTTAGAGATGCAACTGTTGCTGCTCATCAGTCTGAGAAGGGTTATAATCATCCTGCAGTGAAAAGGATTCTCCACAGAATGTATGATGCTCAGAGAAATTGCAAAAAAAGAGCAAAACCTTACGAGAGCTGTGCACAAATGCAGCAAAGCTTAATGACGAGAGACTAATGAAATCAAACGGAAAACCTCAAGCACTTAAGACCTGTTAAGAATCAGGTGATGTTTTTTAAATCATGTTTTTAAATGATGTCCTATAAAAACTTGGGGCTTTTTTCACATTACTGCAAGTAAAATTTAGATAAAGGGCTTGTTTATGATATTTTGTACTCTTGTAGTTTTACTTTAAATGGTCTCAGCACTCATTCAGGTCCTTTACCGTTTCCTCTCTTGAATACTGAAGCACATGCATGGCTCAAATGTCTAATAAACAGAGTAGTTATAAAGAACTCACATAGATTTATTAATTTTCCATTTAAGCAGAGATTTCATGAAAAAATCTTGAATTTCCTCGTAAAACACTTTATAATCTCTGAACAACTCAGTGGCATTATGGTACTACAAGTTAAATGCAAGCATTAATAAAGGGGGCTATTTCTTTAATAAGGTTTGGTTCACCGTACCTTGTGCTTGCATGCGGGTTCGGATCAGAGCCAGGGGATAGCTGGCCAGCTGGCCGCAGGTGCTGGAAATGGTACCACAGCCCAGCAGCACCAGAACCCCTGGATTGGCTGTGTCTTTGGCATAGTGGGACAACCAGAAGTTCTTCAAGCTCTGGTATGGAATACACAGGAATGAATGACAGATGAGAGTGAGGGTTGATGCATAATATTTTGCAAAATCAGCACACAAGCGATGCTTAAACAGATTAAAATGGAGTTTTCTATGGAAGCATAGTGTTGTAGGTGATTCTGAACCTTCCGAACATTTTTCCAGACAGGAATGATTCATCAGGATTTACCTCATACACTGCCAGATCTATCCCAGCGTAGGGGATAATGCCCAGAATATTGGGAATGTAGCCCTTGTAAAATGCCTTCACTCCCTCATTCTTCAGGACTTTCTTGGCACAGTCAAACATTCCCGAGTACTGTCCGGTTTTCCTTAGGGTCATACGGGTTTTCATCACCTGAAGAGACAAAGATGATTAGTGTGGCTGTTTTACATCAGGCTGCACGTTTGACTTAACGTGTTACTGCATCTTTTATGCTACTGGATTGGTTAAGACATCTAAAATTTGTTTGGACACTAAGATATGATCAAACAAGACACATGAGGTAATTAACAAACCAATAAAACTGCACCATCTATAATGTGGGTGTATGCGTTAGTCCCCGTAGAGAAATTACTCCTCTGCATTCACTCAGTGAAGAAGTGGGCAGCCACCAATGGAGCGCCCAGGGAGCAGTGCGTGGGGACGGTAACTTGCTCAGGGGTACCTCAGTGTAGCCGTTCAGTGGATTCGAACCCCCAACCTTCCGATCATGAGGCAACCACTTTACCTACTGAGCTATCCCTGCCCCCATGTGTCTCCATATTTGATATGGAAACTTGCTTGCCCCTCCTGTGGTGCCTCCTCCTGTTACTATCATCCACACGTGCACTCTTTATGCATCTGTGCTGTAAAGACTACACTTCCACTCACCTCCATGGGGTAGATGGCAGTTTGTGCGGTGGCTCCAGCCAACGATCCTGCCATGAACCTCTCGTGGGACTTCACCTTACCCGGTTCACTGGACAGCAGCTTCTTATACTGGTGACACGGGAACATGAAAACCGAACGGCTCAGCAGGATCACACATCAGTGACAAAAGTGAGTGCTAGTGTTAGTAGTTCTCAACATGTAACATTTAACGTGAACATAAGCTGCGATTTATACTGGAGTCTGTAAAGAGGAGGAGAACTTACCTGTTCATAAGCCATGAATTTAATGGCTGTCTCGGGGGCGATCTTCATGACATTGATACCATTTCCTCTCCACAAAGAAGCCACCCCTCCTTCTTTTAGCATTTGCTTAAAGCCGCTGACCAGGCTGATTTTGTTGGTTGTAGAAGCGTGCACCTGGGGGGAAAAGCACTTTTAAGTTATAACTAAGCAGCAAGGGCTCGAAATTCAATTGCTGAAATTCAAAGTGAGCATCAGAATGGAGAAGAAGGGTGATTTAAATGAGTTTGAATATAGTACAGTGGTTAGCATATAAGCATGGATCCACGATGCCATGAATCATTGGGTCAGGCTGGTGGTGATGGTGTAATGGTGTGGGGGATATTTACTTTGGTACACTTTGGACCCATTGCTACCAATAGAGCTTACCTGAGTGCTAATGGTGGCCATTTCCATCCCTTTATAACCACCGTGTACCCACCTTCTGATGGCTGCTTCCAGGAGCATAATGCATCATGTCACTAAGCTTAAATCAACTGGTTTCTTGAACATGATAGCAAGTTTACTGTACTGATCACAATCCAATAGAGAGCCTTTTGGGGTGTGGTGGAACGGGAGATTTGTATCATGATGTGCAGCCGACAAATCTGCAGCAACTATGTGATGACGTCATGTCAATATGTAGCAAAATCTCTGAGGAATGTTTCCAACACCGTGCTGAATCTTTTCCATGAAGAATGAAAGCAGTTCTGAAGGGAAAAGTGAATCCAACCCAGTACTAGCAAGATGTACCTAATAAAGTGTCTGCTGAATGTATTTATATGGTATTTTTTAAAAACAGGATAACCCAAACTAACACAAGACCAGCATTTTGAAGCACACTTATCACCACATGGACCAATGCACACATTTAGTAAAAATCCAGTTCCTGGAGAAAAGGACCGATGAACAACCCAACAGGAATTTTATAAAATCTAAAAGAAATCTTGACCCACCTGCATGAACACCTTCATTCTGTCCAGAGGGGCGGTTCCTGTACGGGACACAGCACCCGCCACTGCTCCTGCAGACAGCTGCTTCCACCACAGACCTGTCGTCTTCTCTTCCTCTGTGAACTCATCTGGGATGGTGAGGCTGTCACCAATGTCCAAAACCTACACCCAATACAGTACAATCAAGTCACAGTCAAAGAGACTGACGGCTGAGAATAGACTGTCTATAAAAGATGCACATAGCCTCTGGGACAGTCTTAATCCTGTAACCTCTGTAATTATTAGTAGAATTATTTATTATTTACAAAAATAAATAAAATATTCACTCTTTAAAAAATAGAATACATTTATCAAATAATAAATCCAACATATATTTATTAATACTAAAAAATAAAATAAAAAATACCCCCATTGCAGTTCCACCTTTAAGGTCCAGTAAGACCATAAGTTGCTCCTGCACTTTTCTTTTCCCAAGCTAACTACTCAGTTATAAGGTGTTTTTTGTTTTGTTTTTTCACAGTGAACAAGTACCGGTAATGCTCTTTGATAATTGGGCTCGCTTGCTAGCACTGGCTAATTAGCGCTATCCCCTTTTCCAAAATATACAGAAAAAAAAATCACGGAAATGGCCAAAATGTAAAATAAATAAAGGCTTTAACACAATCTAATGACATGTTGGCTAGGTCAATCATTTGGATACTATGCTGTTACAGTAAGTTTGTCAAAGAAAGCTAAATAGTCCCTGAAAGCTGGTGAAATTGCAGATTTGCGTGTGATACTACTGTCAAAACATAAGAGCTTTATTCTATATTCTGATTTTGTCTCTTACACTACCATTTTGAATCCTTTTAAATGCAGTTTAGAAGGAAGGAAGAACCCTTAAAGGCCCTTTCTGAACTGAGCGGTTTCTGTCACACTTCAAGCCTTATTATAGAACAAAATGGTTTGCATCAGAAGTTAGTGAGGGTGGTTTCTGCCTATGCAGCCACCCTTTGGAAAACCCAGGAACTATTTTAGCGATCATTAAACCACGTCTTTATTAATAAATGTAAAGGTGTCAAAACTAGACTACTCTGCAGATGAACTTTTAGCTAAGCTGGGCAGCCTCATAACCACACATTCCCAGCTTCACCTTAAACGTAATGCCTAGAAGGATGGGACACATGCCATATCCTTATCCAAAACTTGCATAACTACAGGTCCATGCTGCGAGATCAGTTACATCACCGCGCGTCACTGAGGTAAAGTTGCCGTTTTGAGATCACAGATGCAACAGGGGGGGGTTTGGTTTTTGTTTTTTTTTACTTTTACCACTGCAGTAATGTATCAGCCTTTTTTTAAACAAACCACAAATAACAAATCTGCCCCCTTAAGACATTTTTAAGGCAGGAGTTGACGGCTAACATTAGTTTTAGTTTTATCTGCAAATAGAACACTGTGTTATAAAATTATATTTGGCTAGAAATTTGCCTTGGCACCCTTGAAGCTTATATTACCTGTGCATTACGTCAGGTATGATGTGTTTTTAAAGAATGCTAGTCAGCGGCTGGGCCTCTTCATACCTGACATGATGTAAAGGTGAAAATATTAACTTGTGTTCTCCGGTGGACATAATTGCTACACTATTTCTAAACTACCTCAACCATGCCTCAGCTAAAGATAATAATACTTTTACCCATGACCACATGACAACCAAAACTCAACATCTGAATACAAGAACCTACCATGTCCACATCCACCTCATACAGCCAATCATCTTCCAAGTCGAGGAAAAACCAGCTTTCCTGACGTTGCTGTTGCTGCTGGTGAGGCTGCAGCAGAACCAAGGCCATCTCAAGCCTTTGATAAGGCTGCTAGCTCTAGCAGTTCTAACAAAGGACAAAGTCCCTCCTATAAACACCAGTTCTCAGACCCGTCAGGATCCTTCACACGATTCTGATCAAGGGCCCAGACAGAGGTCGACAGTCCGCAGAGCAACGCACTAAATCCAAAGAGCTTCGGCTTGAACGCTGGAAATAACAAGACCTTGTCATTGCCATAGATGCTCCCAACAAGTCATCAAGTCTCACAGACGCATCATCTCGGATTCTTCTCTCCTGTTCCTTTCTAGACTAAATAGTCTTCCTCTCACCTCCTCCAGTCCTCCTAAATGATACACTAATCCACCCACAGCTCAGGCTGAAATTAGCTCATCTCTGCCAAGCTTAGAAACCAAAGGTTAATTAGACTTCCGAGCTTATGCCAGTGAATGAACTCAGCGAACACTAGAGATTAACCACTGACTGAAAGTGGACGCTCCTCTAGCACGCAACTGTACTTAAATATAGGCAGCAGCCCTTCAGGGTTTGATTATTCCCTGATAATCTAATAAAATGTCACAGTTTCATGTTTGCTCCATTCAAGAAGATTTCTTTTACCATTCAGAGTTCATTTCATTCACAAGTGACAAATTCTTCAGACTCCTCCCCCCTTTCATCTGCCCTGGTCATGAACGAATCACACTACTCATCTGTTGCCAAAATTCCCCCAAATCCGTTATTGTGTGTCACCTCTCTGTGACAGAAGCCTGCACTGCAACTAAAATATTAACAGTATGCAGTTTAAACTTCTATATATATATATATATATATATATATATATATATATATATATATATATATATTTTTTTTTTTTTTTTTTTTTTTTTTTTTTACCTAAAACACACACCAACCCATGTCCAATAATAATAAGAAATACGGCATCTTCTGCAACAAAACCAGCCATTGAAGTAGTGCAAAACAACACCTGGAATTGCCTGCACCAGCCACTGCAACCACACCAACTACTCAAACATCAGCAACAACTGCAACCATCTGAAACTAATGCCAACTACTGCAAACAAAGCAAACGCTAAAACAACAGCGACACATACAGCATAATGTAGAGATAGTGAGTAGCACTCCTTACCGTGGTGTGCTTCCAGTAGCGGACAATCTCCTGCAGGTTGGTGGCTGGGTTAAACAGGAAGTGCTCTCGCCATTCATTCCAGTCCACAGTCATGGTGCCATCCACATCAATACTGTAGGTTAGATGCTTTTTTATTTATTTAAAAACTAAACCATTGAGGCTGTATACTTAATATGCCACTGCTCTACTTTCATGTTCTGCTACTGTCCTCACTGGCCCCTCCAGCCCCACTTCCCTCATCAGTTACTGCATTTTGTGTTTACTTTAGTTCCACTGTTATGTGTACTCCTGCACATGTGCAGCTTCAAGCTTTGCTTATTTAAATCCTGTGCATTACAGTTCAGTCCGTGCTGCAGCATGGACCACAACTGACAGTATTTATATGTATTTACTGTTCTTTGTGTGTGTGTGTGTGTGTGTGTGTGTGTGTGTGTGTGTGTGTGTGTGTGTGTGTGTGTGTGTGTGTTGATATTTTGAATATAAAATAATGATAAGATAAATATAATTAATATTTTAAAAATAACATGATAAATTAACGCACATGCTATAATACATGAGTGAAGTGAGCAAGCGTGCAGGCCTGGCCAAAACCACCAGTAACATGTTTTTTTCCTAGTTTCTGTAAATAATGAAGGATTTATGGAACAAACTGTAATTCTGATAAACACACAGGAGTTTTCAGAGTTTTAATCAATGCCAGTAGTTCTTTTATTCTCACTAAACTGCTACTGTGTGTTAAAACCATGTGTTACTCTTTCTTTACATCCAAATGTGTAGTGAGTTTGAGTATCAGCATGACATTAAACACACCAATAAATATATTCTGACTGACAAGACGTGGCTTGGTCCAAAGTCAGCGACCAGCCGTGCACTTGCAATTCGAAAATATTATTTTCTGGTGTCGACGCGCCGCGTCAGGAGTGTAAAACATCTTGCCAGCTCCTTATCATGTGCACTCACTCCTCTTTTCAGCCAAACCACACACTGAGCCAGTTATCAGTCGCTCACACGGTTCCCACCTTTAACTTGCGGCGCGTCAGGCTGCTTTCTTTCTCGTCTTGCTCGGGACACTGCTGTAATAAATAAATAAGCTGAAATACCTTTGAAGGATTTTCTCTGCATGCTCTTTGCTGATTTCCAGCCCCAGATCAGCAAGTGACTGCCTTATCTCCGTAATGTCTATACGACCTGTAGAAAGTAAGCATTTATTTCTACTTTTTCTCTTTTTGTGCATTTTCAATATTAAAATGTGCTACATATTAAAATGGCACCGTACCATCTTTATTTTTGTCCAAGCTCTTGAAGGTCAGTTGTAATTTCTTCTCATGTTCTTTCAGGTACTTGGAGAACTCGCTGAAGTCGAGCCCCTCATCTTTGTTTCTGTCTCCAGAAGAAATAATTTTCTAAAGGGGGAAAAAAACACACCCACACACAGAATATTAGCAATCATTCTGCTTCGTGTTGCCGTACCTCATTTGTTTGCTGCAGCCGGGTGTTTGACCTCCTCATAAGGCGGAGGGAGAGGTCTGGGTTCTGCTGAGCCATAAGGGGAGTCTTCCATCTCCTGCTCAAACAGCAGCTGGCTGATTGTGGCGGTTGGTGGCAGAATAACGCAGCAAAATGCTCCTTTACTTTATCTCAACTCACTCTCTGTGTTTTTAGCCTTCTGTCTGCCCGAGTTACTGCCATTGCTTTCACAAGTGTTGACGATGTCCCAAGATCAAGACAAAAAAAATCCATTGTTTCTCCAGGCTGAAGCGAATTAATGGAAACAAAAATAACGCCTGGTACCAAATCTGTTATGAGCATTGGCTCTTTGTTAAGAAGTAAACCAGCAAATGAGAACTGTCAGTATGTTTGTATGAGAGCACAAAGGAGGAGAGCATTATAGTTTTGACAGATGAATTTTTGCTCCGAATGAGGGCACTGACCAAATTAGGTTATCTGTCTTACTACCCATTTATTACACAGTTATGTGCGGGGAATGTGCAGTTGTTTGATTAGTAAAGGTGGGACCTTCCACTTACAGTCTCAGCCCACAGTAAAAGTTCACCTTTGAGACAGCTTTAAAAATTCTAGAGCAGTTTTTTTCCAATCCCTTCAGCTCTTTACAGACGCCTGGGTGTCCTGAGTGCAATTCCAGAGAATTCAGAGTTTGTCTTCACTACTCAAGCTGTTTTCAAGAAACTGAAGAAAATACTTTTAAGCCATGACAACAAAGCATGCACGTGGAAATAACCTCTCACAGATACTGCACTTTCAGAGTAAGAGCAATTTTCAGCAGCTACACAAAAGTGACTGTTTGTGACTGTGGAGGAGAGCTTTAGTGTTAGTTTAAGGACAAGACTGCTGTCAGATCTTTTGGAGCCTGTTGTGCAGGTATATGGACTTAATTGCCTTGCTCAAAGAAAGGAAGGGCATGCAACAATATTTAGAATCTAGATGGCTTAAGAAATGCTTTTAACCCTAACTAGGCATGGATAAACTTGAAAAACAAGTACTTAATAGTATGTCTGTGAAGGTTCTCAGTCATCCAGGTCATCGTATTCTAAGGAGATTGGAAAGAAAAGCGTCTGGACTTTTTTAAGTTTCTTGAAGATGTTTCACCTCTCATCTGAGAAGATTCTTCAGTTCTAAGAGCAAGAGCAAGTCCTTAAAAGCTCCCAAAGCTTCCTAGGAATTTGAACTTCTGCTGATGAGGTGTCGTGGGAACTTTTACTTTTTCCAACTTGTGAAAATATTACTGAGGCTGCACTACACCGCTCTCGCTTTTATCTCTGGCTGAACTGCAAATCTTAGGTGTCTAGAGGTCCAAAATAACCTGGGGTGTAACAATCAGCTGATGAGACGATTATGTTATAATTGCACTATTTTGTCAGTCAAAAAATTAGTACCACGTGCATCCTCTCAAAGACAGACCTTTGCCTGCGAAAATCGGACACTTGGTTAAAAGTCAGTGTAATGCGCACAAAAAATAAGAATCCAGTCATCATAAAGATCGGTAACGAAAACAAATAAATAACCTTCTAAGAGTCAATCTGACTGCACTTGGCTGCTCTGGCGGCTGTAATTTCACTTCTTTTAAGGTTAACGCTGCCGCTACAAGAAATATTTGTTGTGGTTTTCTCTCCGTATTTGGGATTTCTGCGCACTCCTGTTTGGATCCGTTACTCTACCTGAGCTGCCCCTTTCTCAGCCTTGATGCCCATAGCATCCAGGCCTGCCTTCAGCTCGGACACATCCACTTTTCCATCCTTGTTAGTGTCCAGCTTGGCGAACAGCTCTTCGTATGCTTTCGACGCATTGTCAGCGCATCGACAGTCCGTAAAAAAGAGCTTCCTCGCCACCTGATACATCTTAAAACGATAAATGAAAAACGTCGCAGGCCTGTAGAGCTCCACGCACACACACACACACTAACAGAAACTGGGTAAGCAATCTGATGTGGCAACTGATTCCTGTGGCTTGCGCTTCTGGTTTCAGGACTTCCGCGGTGTAGCCTAGGGAAGTGATAGAAAAGTCCTCATGGGTCGGCGTCGGTGTAAAGTCCAGCGGGCACACGATAATGTGCAGATTTGGCCAACAGAGAGCTTTTTGCGGATGAGGTAGGAGCGCTGTACAGATCGGTGGAGGGACTCGGTTGACTTCGCCTTGGGAGACCTCCTCTTTTTAGTGCCCACACGCACACGCTCACGGAGACACACCCTTCAACAACAACACACGCGCACTGCTCTGTTACTACTACTCATGGGCGGCATTTCAACATTTCCTCACAAGTCAACTATATCTTTTTCTCATCCTCTCAAGTCTTGTCCACCTTTAGGCGTTTTTACTTGGTTTGCTGTGGTGGAAACGTCCCCACGCGAACGCACGCACGCGTTCAGACTGTACAGTAGCCTAGTGTGCAAGGATCGTCATCCTGTACCCATCGGTCTGCAGTACAAAGTCGGTATAACTTATCTTTGTCTATCCGGTGAGTCATACTCAAAAGAATCCGGCAGCTGTTCTGGGCAAAATTAACCCCATAAGCTTGTAATTGCCTCAAAGCACGGGAGGGGTGCTCTTCAAGGCCACTTTGACATATTTTGTTTAAATCTTTCAGAGAAATTGTACATCTTCATGTTTAATTGGACCTTCCTTTTCTCTCATCCTGCTTGGGAACAGCTTTTTAACCGCTACTAGGGATGGGAAAAGTTTCTAGAATAACACATATGCTGTTAAATTGTGCAAGTTGTGCAACAGTTTATTGGCTGTACAGTTCCTACGATGTACCACCAGATGGAGACAAACGTCAAATAACTAAACAGCAGCTGGTTTTGCTTTCTTGTAGTAATCTGTCCAATCAGTGCTGCCGAAAGAGGAGGCGGGCTTCGGTTTGCAACAAACATAAAGCTGTTATCCTTTCACATCCGGTTAGTCATCAATAGCTTCAAAGTAAAATAACCAAGAAACAAAACGGCAACAGAGAAAAGGCTGACATATTAAAAAAAAAGGCAAATGTTTGTGTGCTCCTGGGAATGAGAAAAGAGGATTTCTTAAATAAAGTGTTAGCTCTTAAAAACAAAAACAGGTCTTGGAATTGAAGCAACACATTTATTTGAATTTTAAAATCCCCGCGGATCATCAGAATCGCAAACACACACATCCACATATAAGCTACAAGATCTACAAAGCACTGTTTTACTGTTTTACTTATTATTGCTTTCTTTTAGTCGTGTGAAGCGAACCTGCAAAGTAAGAAGATTTGTGTTTTGCGGTGTACATGACAATAAACTTCTTGAATCTTGATCCTATTTATTTATATTTTTGTTTCCAAGGACCCAAACTTGTAATTAAAAAAAAATCTGATAAACAAATACGTTTTACAAAGCACTACCCATCATGGATTGGCCTCCACAAAGCCCAGGCCTCAACATTATTGAATCAGCGTGGGATCATTTTTATCTGAGAACAAAACAAAAGGTAGCCAACATTCAAAGAAGACCTTTGAACTTTTTCACACCAATTCCATGCTGCACATGAAACGTGCGCTTTTATTTTGAAAGATCAAGATAGGATAGAGCTCTGCCAGTACTCTGAGCCGATGACGGACTTTTGTCACCAGTAGCTTCACCATCCTCCCACAAACACCAAGCTGGTTCTGTCTGTGCTTCACAACAATGGGGCAGTAATGTCAGCGACGGGCGACACCGGAGCATCTTTTCAAAGGCACTGAAGCGGTGTATGGATTTAATGATGATGAAAAAGAAGAAATTCAAGTTCAAGGTGGATTTTGACCTGGACGAGCTGTCGTCGGTCCCCTTTGTCAACGGTGTCCTCTTCTGTAAAGTCAGGCTGCTGGACGGCGGCTTCTCCGAGGAGTCTTCTCGGTGAGGGTGCTTGGCTTTGATTCAGCCACTCAAACGTTGACTGACGGCGTGCTGTTCAGTCCGCAGGGTGAACTAACTCGTGCCTTTAGGAAATGTTAACAGCTAACTAAGCTAATGGGCTACAAGAACATAGTTAACGTCCATTAGTTGTGTGCCAATAACGTTAATGGTGTAGGGCTAATTAGTTTCTTCTGGTCGGTGCTAGTTTGCAGCATCGCGTTGCTTAGTTTTAGTAGCTTTGGGTGTTTGGTGGTAACGTTCATTTAAACAAGTGTCCATTTGGAATTCCCTGGTTAAATTTTAGGCCCACTTCTTCGCTTAGTTGTGGAATTAAGTACTGAGGGCAGCTCACTCGTCACATAGCTGTCACAAAGCTGAATATTACTCCTTAAGCTTTTCGGTGCTGACTCAATGGTGTCAGTTCCATATTTTGCCATGATGTATTCACTGAAGTAGTGTGATGTGTTTCAGTGTGTTTAATCAACCTCCCGTTAATCAACATATGAACCCGAGTTCTAATGCAAGGACTGTGTATATTGTCATATCCCCATTTCGTCAGAAAATTGTTTCACTTCTTGTGTATAGTTGTATGTATAGCTGACCAGTCTTCACATACCAGGCCAGCAACTTAAATTTTAAGTGTGAAGTTTTCTTCCTAAAGTTTATAAGATCATGCCAATGTAGTAAACATCAGTGTTATCAAATTGAGACGAGCAAAGATAATAATCTCATCTGATTATCTTTATTTTCATTAACTCTCAGATTGAATAATTAGACGATTACTGGCTTATACACTATTACATTTCAGTTTTTGTATACTCAGACTGTTAAATGCCTTTCCTGCAATACATACATACTAGAGCTGGGAGAAAAATTGATAGTGTTGCGGTGTTGTATGGATACAGGGGCATCAAATCTCGATATTTTATTATCTCTGGAAATACTCTGAACAAGAGGGCTCATCTTATGGACCGCCATCATGAGGTAATGTTATCCGAGCAAACTTACATTATATCCACTCAACCGAAAAACCATCCAACACTGGATACACTTAGCTTGGCAAGGCTGCTTGATGGTTGTATTGAATTTTTTGCAACTTGTGGTGACTAAATGGTTGTCCAGAGCACTCAGGACCACTTTTGATTGCAAGATGATTGCACAGGTCGCATGATAGGAATCAGCTTTTCTGCAAACAGTCGCAGCTTTGGTAATCTGTGAGCCACACTAGGGCTGCATGCTGAGCGCTGTCAATATGTTTGTTCAGTGTTCATGGAGAAGTATAGAGAAGGTCACTGTGTCCTTTTGGGTTTAGAGACAGGATCTGATAGTGTGCCAAGAGAGAGGAACTGTGGTGCTGCATGAGGAAGTCAGGAGTGCCAGAGAGGTATGTGAGGGTGGTATAGGAAAGTGAGACAGTGGTGAAGCGTGCGTTAGGACTGACTGGTGGAAGTGGGATTAGATCAGACATCAGCTCTGAGTCTTCTCTTGTGTGCAGTGGTGATGGACAGGCTGACAGATGTGGTCAGGCAGGAGTCTCTGTGGAATATGTTGTTTGTAGATGACATTGTGATCTGCAGCGAGAGACCTGGAGAGGGGGAGGTATGCACTGGAGAGAAGAGCAATGAAAGTTATAAAGAAACGAGAGAATACATGTGTTACTGAGAGGAGACAGGTATGGCTGTGAACATGCAAGGAGAAGGGACGGTGAAGGTAGATGAGTTTAAATACCTGGGGTCAACCATCCAAAGCAACTGACAATGCACAAGAGAGGTGAAGAAGTGAGTGCAGGCAGGGTGAGGAAGAGTGTCAGGGTAATTTGTGACAGAGGGATAGTAACACGAGTGAAACAGAGATGGTAGTGAGACCTGCTATGATGGATGGTTTGGACACTGTGACACTAACAGAAAGACAAAAGGCTAAGTTGAAGATGTTAAGATTTTCAATTGGAGTGACCAGAATGGGCAAGATTAGAGTTGGGGTTAGATGGAGGCCAATGAGCCGCTCTGGTGACCCTGAAAGGGAAAGAAGTATCAATAAGAGCCTGAAATTTAGATTTCACAGTTAGCTATGTCGCTGTTTGTTATTTCGCTGTCAGTAAGCAGTACCAGTTAACTTAAGTATGTGGTTGGATTTTAGTTATAAAAACACACAGAGCTGCCCAGTGTTGCTCAGATATATGTGAAGCTTCCCATAACATTAAGACAGTGATGGACAGCAGCGCTAAGGAGAAGAGACTCTGAGCCAAATGACTCATTTGCAGCTCTCGTGTCAATTCAGAGTAACAGGACAAGTTGTTCAAGTGATGGAGTAATTCCTTTACTTTCTACATTTTACAGCAGAGCTTCAGAATTGAAATATTAATTTTAAGCGTTATATTGTAGCATTGGGCTCAACGTAAGATGCACATTTTTCATTTTTTAAATGAAAAAAATCTAAGGCTCCTGCAACAAACTCATTTGCAGCATCACTCTAAAAACCAAACCACGGGAAAATCAATTGAAAATTCAGAGTTCTAAGTATGCACATTAAACGGCCCACCTACTCCTGAGCGTGTGTTGGCCACATTGATACATCCTTTCCATAAACAGAATCGACATGTGCGGTATCTCTGTTTGTACATCTACAATTAACATCCAGGAAATGACAACCCAGCTGCACAGGGTTTGTGTCTTTTTCTTATTGGCTAATAGGTGGTCTTGTGACACATGAGCTTTGCAGCTTACCTCAGCCAGTTGTAGTGGTTTGTGTGGAAACACAATTTGCAAGCCAAAAATGTCATTTAAAACTAACAAATAACGGAGGCTGAGAAAAAGCTGCTTGGACAGCTTAAAAGGGGTTGCTTAAATCTCAGACTTGAATAAACCTAAACATGCACATCTCTGAGAGAAATGTTTCATAC